GATTTCTATAATTTTATCAAGGAGAAATTTGTGAAATAATGATACTCCCCTTGCAGAAATGCATGTATGAAAACTATTGTGTAGCATTTACTACATGCCAGATGCAATGTTAGTGAACGCATTAAATTAATTCAATCCTCACAACAACCCTTAGAGTTACTGCATTATCTAAACTTGATAGCATGTAAAATAATTAAATATTGCCTTGCAAACACATTAATGTACATAATTTTTCTGCATTTTGTAGTAAATGGAAACAATTTGTAGCATATTAAAATTGACACCACTATTATTTGTAATACAGCAGTTTAATATCTACTACCATTCAGTTTTGTAAAAGATCAGTAAACTCCTTATGAGTCAGAAATGTTATAATGTTTGCCTTATATTTGCCCTCTATATGCAATATAGACTTTTATGAATGTGTACATGTATGTATGTATGTATGTATGTGTGTATGTATGTATGTATGTATGTGTGTGTGTGTATGTATTTTGTTGGCAGTACTGGGAATTGAACTGAGGGCCTCTCTTGCTAGGTCAGGCCCTTTAACCACTTAACCCTATACCTCCAACCCCTTTTTGCATTATTTTCAAGATAGAGTCTCACTCTTCACTCTACCTAACCTGAACTGTGATTTTCCTATTTGTGCTTCCTCAAGCCTGTGGGAATAACAAGCACATACCACTGCACCTAGTCATCATGCTTCCCCTGTAGCTAGGATGACAGGCACATACCTACACCCAACCATTGTGCTCTCCCTGTAGCTCCAATAATGCAGATGACATTGCACCCACCCATTTGCTTCCCCTTGTGCTGGGATAGCAGGTACACACCACTGTGCCCAACCGTTGATTGAGAATGGAGTTTCCTGAATCTTTATGCCCAGGCTTGCCTTGAACCACAATATCCCAATCTCCTACCAAGTAGCTAGGGTAACCTGGTTAAGCAACTGTATCTAATGGCCTGTAAAATTTTATGCTACCATAATATATATTTTCTGTTTGAAGATATTTTTGATTAGCTGTTATTTAAAAAAATATGTAAGTTGAAATTAAAATTTTTCTCTAGTTTTTAGGGATCTCGAGTACTGATTTAAAATTATATAATGTCTAATCACATTAGTAGTTGAAACTGACCACACATAAATGTATCACATATTTTAATAAATAATTGTTAAAGAACAATGTTATTGAAGATAAGATATTTTAGTTTCTTCATGTAACAGCTTAATATTACTTTTTATGCTGGCCTTAAACTCAAGATCCTCTTGCCTTAGCATATACCACTTCACCTGGCTTAATGTTACATATTTGTGAAAGAAAAAGTGTTTAAGCTGGGAGCCAGTGTCTCACACCTGTAATCCTAGCTGCTCATGAGGCTGAGATCTGAGGATCACAGTTCAAAGCCAGCCTGGGACTCTTATCTCCCAACAAACCACCAGAAAACCAGAAGCGGCTCAAGTGGTAGTACTAGCCTTGAGCTGAAGAGCTCAGGGATAGGACTCAGGCCCAGAGTTCAAGCCCCATGACCAACAAAAAAAAGAAGGAAGGAAGGGAGGGAGGGAGGGAGGGAAGGAGGGAGGGAGGGAAGAGAAAGGAAAGAAAGGAAGAAAGAAAGGAAGGAAGGAGAAAGGAAAGGAAAGAAAACGAACGAAAAAGTGTTTGATAATAATGCTGTTTTGGGTTTTGTTGTTGTTTTGTTTTGGTTAGCACTGAGATAACCCTAATTCTCAAATAATGAAAGAAAATTAGGGTTGGGAAGGTGGCTCAGTGGTAGAGTGTTTGCCTTGCATGCATGAGGCCCTGGGTTCAATTCCTCAGCACCACATAAGCAGAAAAAGCCGGAAGTGGCGCTGTGGCTTAAGTGGTAGAGCACTAGCCTTGAACAGAAGAGCTAAGGGACATGGCCCAGGTGCCGAGTTCAGGCCCCATGACCAGCTAAAAAAAGGAAATTATAAAAATTTGATATAACTGAGCTATTTAATTCCTTTTACACCTTTAGACTTATATGTCAAGAGTTGTGTTTGTTGGTCAATAAAAATGGTTTCAGAAAAAAAAAATGTTTTTAGTATCCTGTCAGTAAAGTACTTATTTAATTTTGTTGAAAACAAAAATTCAAAACTATGTAATATTCAAATAATTTGTTTTTTAGGCATTAGAATTAGTCACAATTTTATTTCAGTACTTTTTGTTAATATGTTTTTAAATTTGTAAGAACCTGTCTTATTACATGTACTATTAATCAGTACCTTATTTAATCCAATTTCTGGATAGTTTTACCTATTAACCTGACTTAGCAAAGACAGTACTAAAATGCAAGTCAGTCAAATCTTTTTCTAACTTTTGTAAGAAAGAATACTATACCTTCATTATTCCAATTAAAATGACTGTGTCAATATACTAAGAAATGTTTTAATTTATTCAAATAAGGAAATGTATGAGGAATATAGAAACTATTAATAAATAAGAATATATATCTACATAACTACATCTCATAAAATCAATTATTTATCAATAATTACACAGGCTTCTGTATAAACTTTTTATAATACCCAATAGTGGAGCCAGGATTAAGATGGCATAAATCTAACCTAATTTTTATAATTTATAAAATCTTTTCCTCCAAATTAGAATAAGTACAGATAAGCTTATACATGTTACTGACAAAGATTCATGTAGAAAATACAGATTGGAATCCTAAAACTATATGCTATTTAAAAGCTCCCAGTTCCAATAGCTAGTATGTGTGGGTGTGGTTTTTTTGTTACAAAGATGTAGAAAGTATTAACATTTTTATAAGACAAGTAATTGTAAATTGAAAAAATATCCTAACGGTTTTGGTGGCATTGGAGGTTGAACCCAGGTCCTCATATTGTCTAGGCAGTTGTTCTACCACTTCAGCTTTGCCCTGCCAGCCTTCTGTTCTTGAGTTTTTGAGATACAATCTCACTAACTTTGCTAGAATGGCTTGTGACTTGAAATACTCTGGCCTCTCACCTCCCAAGTAGCTGAGATTACATACATGTATTACCATACCCAGGTGCATAACAATTTTATTTAAAAATAGTTTTTAACTAGCATGTCAAATTACTTGAGAAAATACATAAAATTTGAATTTTTTAGTTTTATCAAGTTTAATTTGAAATTTTTAAGTTGCGTTTAAAGGGCTCAATGTCACTAAGATACAATTCTTTAACTGTTCAAAAATGCTTATTTTTCCAGCTAATGAACAGCATTTGGGAATGCTTTTTGATTTGCTTTCATCAGTTTCCTGAAGTACAATGAGCTATTATTTAATAATAGGGTGTAACATATGAAGTCATCAAAGGAAATTTTTCTTCTCTTCTTTGACTGTATGATTATATATTGATTCGAGAACCATCCCCTTTACAGTGGACATGCTTATACCTAACAGAAGTCATTTCTGTAGAAAGACTGGAAGACCTATAGTTGCTTTGTGCTACTTCAGTTAACCAATAAGGAGTGTGCCCCGGCAGTGATTTGAACTTTTCCCTTAGACATGCTAGACATTTTATACTGCAAAACAAAATACCATATTAATATAATGGAGGGAAGTAGAAATTTCTCTTTTCCCATGTTTTCTTGTAAAAAAAACAAAAGTAAGAATAAAGGATTCTGGGGTGGGGACATGGGTAAAAAAACTGAAGTTAAAAGTCTTGAAGATGATGAAAAAGCCAGGTGGAAGATACTTATACACAGCCATTTTAATTTGTCCCGATTTCAGTCCACCAGCAAGTGCTGTTTTTACAAAATTAGAATGTACAGTTCAGTCTTACATCTATAAAAACATCATCCATGAGATACCTGGGAATCTTGTTTACCCACCAGTCACCACCAGAATTACTCCAGTCCCCTCCAGAGCCAGTGCAGAAGATGGAGGAGAGCCATAGCCCAGCAAGGCAGCACCCTGAGCTGGCTTCTCAAACTGAACTCATTCTACTCCCTTAAACTTTCTTAGCATAAAAAAAGAATAAAACATGTCTCTGCCACAATCCCATGATCAAGCATTTATTGAGACAGAAATAGAGAAATAATAGCTTTGTTTATATAGGAATCCTAAAAGAGATGCAAAGCAATTTTTATTTATTTGATTCACTTTTAATGAACCCAAAATATATCAATCTAATCAAATCTAACTGCAGATAAGTATTAAAGCTATTTAGTAAAAAGCCAGCTTGCCAAAAGAATACTTTATATGGGAAGGACTCAGAATCATTGTATGATTTTAAGTATTGTGATAGTTGTGAGCATAGGTGACCTTTAAGAATTTTTTTCTTTATTGCTTTATCCTTAAGTGAGAAATAATTCAATCATCTATATTGCTTTCTCTGAGTTTTGTTTATTAAGATGGACTAGAATTAGACTAATGTTCAAAAGGGGATATGGTGAGATTTTTTGGACATTATTATGACATTATTATGGAATCTATATAGCCTGTACTAGCCTAGAACCCATCGTCTAGACCAGACTGGCCTCAACTTGAGATCCCCTGACCTGTTCCTTCCAAATACTGGGCTGCAGTCATAGGCCACTGTAACAGCTTATGTATAATGTGAGAAGACTTTATAATAGATTGCAAAAAAAGAATGTAATTCATTTATAGTTGTTACTAAGCATCTCCTACAATTTCAAAAGCAATCATATACTGCCCGGCACTAATGGCTCACACCTGTAATCTTAGATATTCAGGAGGCTAAGATATAAAGATTAAGGTTCAAAGACAGATAGGGCAGGAAAGTTTGTGAGATTTTATTTTCTAATTAATCACCAAAGCCAGACATAGAGCTTTGGCTCAAGCAGTAGTAGCACACTGACCTTGAACTACAAAGCTCAGGTCCTCAGTTCAAACCCTAGGGCTGGAACACAATAAAGAAAGTCATATACTCTCAGGATAAAGAATTTTTATTTTTTTTAAAAAACCTTTGTAACAACTTGGAAGTAAAATTGCCTTTTATTTTAAAAATACATTTCTTTTAGTAAAAGATGACGAATGTGACTCCGATGCAGAAAATGAGCAAAATCATGATCCTAATGTTGAAGAGTTTCTGCAACAACAAGACACTGCTGTCATTTATCCTGAGGCACCTGAAGAAGACCAGCGGCAGGGAACACCAGAGGCCAGTGGTCATGATGAAAATGGTAAATAGAGATGAAAACTCGTTTCTCTTTCTCACTTTAAAGGATTACTGTGCCTATTACTCTACTATGAGAATCTAGTGTACGAAAGGAAATACTTTTATGAACTAAAATTTATTTTGGGTACCTGTAGAGAGAGAGTAGTCTTAGCAGTTAATGGAACATTGTCCACAATAATGGCATTATATTAAATTGGCTGCTCATGTATGTAGTATAAACACGATTGCATGTAAAATGCTTAGAACAGTAGTATCTAGACATCAGTTTTCATTTATTCAAATAGAAGCAGGCAGTAGAAAGAAAAACTAATTTGGCCCTTTGATTCATTACTTTTAGCAAGCAAAACATGGTGGTCTGGTTCAAAATATACTAAATTAGCGCTAACACTTTTTCTGCATCTGCTTTAGTCTGTTCTGATATGAACTCTCAGTTTACAAAGAATGGTCAAAGTTCAATAAAAAAAGTGTTAAGTACTCCTGAAAAGAAATAAGCTATCCTTCTGCTCTTTTAAGAACTGAGATTAGAAACAAGAAGTTTCTTAAATGTTTAAGAATTAGTAAAATATTAATATTTTACTAAATCTGAAACTAGAGATGGTGGCCCGCCCCTTTAATCCAAGCTACTGGGGAGGTGGACACAGGAGGATTGTGGTTAGATGATAGCCCAGGCAAAAGTTAGCAAGACTGTCTCAAAAGCAAATACCTACTTTAGTACCATCTACTCAAGGGGCAGATGTAGAAGAATTCTGGTTCCATGCAAGCCCCGAAAGTGAGGTCCTATTTGAAAAACAAATGAAACAGAAAAATAAGAAATTGTAGCTCAGAGTTCCCAGGTTCAATCCCTAGTATAGAAAAAAAATCCCAAATTTGGCTTTAATTTCAACTTCCAAAAGTTCCCAGTAGAGGAATAAATTTACCTTATATTCCAATAATCAGCTTTGAATTCCTTTGGGAAATTGGGAAAGCTGCTGGTGAAAAATGAAAATAGATTCTATGGCACAGAATCTACTATATTGCTTTTGGTTTGGGGGTTGGTTTTTTTTTTTTTTTTTTTTTTTTTTTGCCAATCCTGGGGCTTGAGCTCAGGGCCTGGGCACTGTTCCTGACCTTCTTTTGCTCAAAGCTAGCACTCTAACACTTGAGCCACAGTGCCACTTCTGGCTTTTTCTGTTTATGTGGTACTGAGGAATCGAACCTAAGGCTTCATGCATGCTAACTTTACCATGAAGCCACATTACCAGGGAGGGGATGTGGACAGAAGAGAACCCTACTGCATTGTTGGTGGGAATGTAAAATTGTTCAACCATTTTGTAGTATGGATGTTCTTCAAAAGACTCCACATAGAGCTCCCCTATGATCCAGCAATCCCACTTTTTGGCATTTACCCAAATGACCATAAACAAGACCATACCAGCACTACTATGTTTATTGCAGCATTATTAACCATAGCTAAGATATGGAACCAACCCAGATGCCCCTTGATAGATGAATGGATCGAGAAAATGTGGTATATATACACAATGGAATCCTATGCCTCCATCAGAAAGAATGACATCGTCCGATTTGTTAGGAAATAGAAAGACTTGAAGAAAATTATGTTAAGTGAAATAAGCCAGGCCCAAAGAAACATAGGTCCCATGGTTTCCCTTATTTGCAATAACTAGTATATGTTGGGACAAGCAGAAAAGCTCAGATAAGATGATGTTAAGCGAAATGAACCCCAAGATAGGGACACAAGTTGTTTTTCTTCCTTGCTATTGTTTCTAATGTATTTATAAGGTAACGTGATTTTTTTTTGTAGCTTTGTATGTCCCTCCCCCATAGTATAACCCCTGTTTTCACTGTATTTGATGTTGGTATAATTTGGGGAGGGGAAGGGAAAAAACAAAATGCTTAAATAGGGATACAGATTGACTCATTGCTACAATGAGATGTACAAGATGTTATGTCGAAAAACGAACTTTACAATTTAGGCGGGGGTGGGGGGGGGTGGGGGGGAGGTTATAGTTGAGTAGGGGAGGATGGTAGGGGAAAAACAAAGGAGGAGGCAACAATGCTGGATAAGAAATATACTCATTACCTTGCTCATGTAACTATAACCCCTCTGTACAGTATTTTCACAATAAAAAACTTACTTTAAAAAATTGGAGCAGAGCCCTTTAGAGCAGTTTCCACCAGTGTACCAGACAGATACATTTTTGAAGAATGCAGGTTATTAACTCTCAACTAAGACATTAGTACCCTGGTCAGCTACTTACATATTCGAAGAGATCACAGTTCATTGTTACTGACATTGTAATGCTCTACCATTTCTTCTTTCATTTTTTACATTGAAAAAGCGATTATCCCCAGAAACTTTTTTTTTATCTCTGTAGATTAAAAATGCTTTTCTGCTCTTTCCTTGAAAGTTATGAATAGTCTAATGTACCCCAGTAATTAATAGTCACACATTTTGAATCAGTGGGGAAAAATTCAAGGGATATTTGAAAGGTTTTATATCACTGCTAATCAAAATGTTATGCTACCTGCCAAATAAAATTTAAAACATTAAAATTAAGGAATTCTGTTTTGAAAACTACAGGCAAGGCCACAGATACACAAATGAATTGTACAAAAAGTGGTCAGACTGTTGGGTACCAGTGGCTCATGCCTCTAATCCTTAACTGCTCAGGAGGCTGAGATCTGACAGTCACTGTTTGAAGCCAGCCCAGGCAGAAAAGTCAAGGAGATTAGAAAGTAGACAACTCGGGAGGAGGCTGGGAAGGGATGTGAAGGGTAAACAAAGGAGGAGGCTGCAATGCTTGATAAGAAATGTACTCATTATCTTGCCCATGTAATTGTAACCCCCCTGTACAGTATGTTCACAAAAAATTAAAATTAAAAAAAAAGAAAGTAGACAACTCTATGATCTTGAATTAGGGACAGCTGGATTAGTAGAATTACATGGCATTATACTGCTAAAAATGAAATACCCAGGATGAAGGACTTTGACTCTTGCCATTATAACCACCTAAAATCAATAATGTAGACCACACATTCTGGCAAGAGGGTTCTAAGTATTGGTTTCCCACTGGCCTGTACAAATAGAAAATTTATACTGGACAAAATATAACATGATTTCCTCCACAAAGAAGAGGGTCATATTAGAATCATTCCCAAGAGAAAATTATCTTACTCAAGTTTCTTTGCAAGGTGTTCTCAAAAATATACCAGTGCTATGGCTATTTGATAGTTAATAAATTTGATACATAGTTCAATATGTTTGACTAGCTGTTTTGAGTCCATGTTCTTAGTATGTGATTTGTATTCATGTTCTTAGTATTGTGACTTGAACTCTAGTGAAGTAATATATGAGATTAGGAAGGGTTTGGAGATAGTTACAAAATTACCTTTGGTTGCTTGTTTTTTCAATAAGGTCAAATTAAGGAAAAATAGATAATGGTGTTTTTAAATGATGCCATTATCTGATTTATTTGAGTGAATAAATGTGGCATGCTACTCTCAATTAACTTGTCTTTGGATTTCAGTAGAATGAGCATGAAGGGTCACATGGGAAATGCGCCAGATCTACATCTGTCCCTATCACTCCTTCACTCCCACGTACATTCTTCCTGATCTGAATTCCTTCATGTGGCCACTTACTCTATAAGACAACTTTGTAGTGTCACTTTCAAACCTAAAAGAACAAACAATAAATGGCAACAGTCTTTACCAATGGAAAGAGGTTCCACTTTAGTATGTATACATTCAGGAATGTAACCCATATCTTTATTTTTATTTTGTGTAGTTATTTTGTGTAGTTAATTATGGATTAATGAAAAACATAGCAGACTGATAAATCCTACTCTGAGTACTGACTTAAATCTTTTACTATGTGATGCTTACATTCTCTAACCTTTCTGAAGATCATATTTTCTCCTTTAAAATAGAGATGTGGTATTGGAGCATGGTTTAATAGTTAGAGCACCTTCCTAAAAAGTGTAAGGCCCTGAGTTCAAACAAAAAACATACATACATAAACAAAATAAAGATAATGTATTCTGTTGTTTTGAGGATGAAATATGGAATGAGTAGCACAATATCTGGCACATAGAATCAAGACTCTGTGGTACCTTTGGTAATATTTTCTGAATTTTGTTAGTTTAAAATATAAAATTTCTCTTACAGGAACACCAGATGCATTTTCCCAATTACTTACCTGCCCATATTGTGATAGAGGTTATAAACGCTTTACCTCTTTGAAAGAACACATTAAATATCGCCATGAAAAGAATGAAGATAACTTCAGTTGCTCCCTGTGCAGTTACACCTTTGCATACAGAACCCAACTTGAACGTCACATGACATCACATAAGTCGGGAAGAGATCAGGTAAGTGAAAGGGCAATTCATTCATTCTCCAAACTTTGTGAACTCAACTTAGAATGAGAGGCAAGCATTTTATGGTATATAAAAGGAAATAATAGACATTGTCTTATCCACAGTTTTCTAAAGCTAGAAGCAGTTATTTGTAGAGAATTTTTATTTTCATATTACGATTCTTTACATCCTTAATTATTTTGCAAATCCTATAACAAACATTCCTCCAAATTTAGAATATTTTGTATTATATTCCTACAAAATGTTCAATGTAAGAAAATAAATACTGGTTACCACATGACTTAAATTGAAAAATTTGAAATTTTTCCTTAAACTAATAATTATTTGTTCTCAGTATTAAAACTCTGGATTTTTCCTGTAAAGGGAAGCCACTACTTTAAGTATCTAAAGTTTTAAGTTTTCACTCAAAAGACTCAATTTCATGTGGTTTCATATGATTTGTTCTAATTTTATGTTACTGTGCCCCATTTTTCTAGAAGCATAAGCCAAAAATGATGCTATGTAGCTATGTTAAACCATTAAACAATAAAATTGTAAGTTTAAACTATTAGCTCTATTATCTAGGTTTCGGGGGTTGTTGTCTTGGGTTTGTTATTTTGTTTGTCTGTCGGGGGGTTTGAACTCTGGGCCTGGGCACTGTCCTTGAGCTCCTCAGCTCAGGACAAGAGCTCTACCACTTGAACCACAATGCCACTTCCAGGTTTTCTGGTGGGTTATTGGAGATAAGAATCTCATGGACTTTCCTGCCCAGGCTGGCTTCAAACTGTAACCCTCAGATCTTAGCCTCCTGAGTAACTAGAATTACTGGTGTAACCCACCTGTGCCCAGCTCTACTATGTAGTTTTAAAATCTAGTAGCATTACCAATTATCCTTTTTGTTACAAATTCCTATTGATGGTCAGCTATCAGCACTCAAAATGATACATATTAAACTCTAATTTTAACTATCAAATGACTCAATTCAGAGCCAGATGGTGGATTGAATGAATAAAATCATGGAACTAAGGAAAGTCACTATTTGAAGAAAGAGAGGGAGAAAAACCTTTGAGATTAAGAAGGAAGTAGTAAAACAGCAGAAAACAAAGAGAATCATAGACATCAGAGGAAAAAAGAAAAGTACTAAGCTCTAAACCCTTGCCTGACACCCCTCAGGAGAGGGAGGAGAAATAAAGTCATGAGCACAAAAGCAAAGGGTCCTGGATCAAGCCTGCATTACTAGTTGTAGAATAGGTCCATGCCTCCTGCTAGCCTTAAGTCCAGCATGGGGAGTTGGTAAGACAGAGATCAATAGCCACACGTGAGTATTTAGATTCTTCATAGACACTAAACTACATGAATACAGGATAAAAGTTGTGTACTGTACATGACTGAAGGACTCATTTGACAAACTTGGGGAAGAGGATAGATTTCTCACTGCAGAAAATAGGCAAGAGGGTGTTACCTGTGTGATTGGAGTTGTCCCTCGCTAAGGGCAGTCCCACTCACGAAAGGCATTTCCACTGGCTCAGATCTCTGGGCTTCCCAACAGGAAGTCCTGCTCGTTCATATCTACTGAGTCTGCAAGATCCCAAAACAGTCCTGTCTGGCCATAGGAACTCCCACCAGTTGGAAAAGCTGCTTTGATAAGAGAACCAGATAGGCAAGCTGTTAGAATAAACACAGCTAAAACACCCCTCCCAACAGGAAGTTAGGAGCTTTTTCTCCTTGGAAATGATATCCCTCTGAAGCAGTTACCATATCACCTGCTACTAAGGGCTCCCTCCTTGCCCCCGCCCCCTGAGCTGCTGCTTGAGACAAATTATTTCAAATCATCACTCCGAAATTTTCAGAACTAACTACATTAAATAGATATGAATAGACATCAGTGAACCAAACATTGGAGGAAAATATTGGACACTTTCACAGAATTCAGATAGTATCCATTTCTCAGCGAAAAATAAAAAATTTTGTTATGTTTCATTTTTCCATTTTTAATTTTTTAAATTTTTTTTATTGTGAAAATACTGTACAGAGGGGTTACAATTGTATGGGCAAGATAATGAGTACATTTCTTATCAAGCACTGTAGCCTCCTTCTTTGTTTCCCCTTCCCATCCTTTCCCATCCTCTCCCCTCCCCCCCCCACCCAATCCCCCACACCAGCCCCACCAAAGTTGTAAAGTTTGTTTTCGACATAACGACTTGTACATCTCATTGTTGCAATGGGTCCACCTGTATCCCTATTTAAACTATTTGTTTTTTCCCTTCCCCTCCACAAATTATACCTACATCAAATACAGTGAAAGCAGGGGTTATACCATGGGGGAGGGACATACAAAGCAACAAAGAAATAATCTTATAAATGTGTTAGAAACAATCGCATGAAAGAAAAAAACATTTGAATACATATCTTAAGGTTCATTTCCCTAACGTCAACTTATCATTTTTAAATTTTTATCATTGCATTGATTTCATTTTTTACAATTTTTCTATAGATAGTTTATCAACCTGTGTTTATTACTCTTAATTCCTCTATCCTACTGCAATTTGTTACTTGTATACCTCCCCAGAATCACTGAACTAGCTACATTCCTGCGCACTATTATTTTATTTTCATTGCACACACTTCACTCTTTTGACTGCATCTTCTTATATCCTTATTTTTTCCATCATAGCCCCTTTATTTTACCCCCAAATCTTAATTGCTTTACAAATAATATTTTTTCTTAATCGCCTACAATATTACATAAGAATGCTAATCCCTTTGATATGTAACACAGTTGTTCTTATAGATGAAAATATACATAACCAACAAAATGTGGGAAAATTTAATCTCACCAGATAAATAAAACAAATGAACAGTGGGAAAGAATCAAACAGTAAAAAAAAAAAAAAAAAAAAAAAAGTGAAATTAAATGGCAAGAAACACTACATACTTTTCAATATTGACTGAATGTTAATTGTCTCAATTCTCCAGTTAAACACATATGATAGCTATTTTTATTAAAAAGCAGGAACTGACCGTGTATTGCTTTAAAAAAAATAAAAAGAAGAAGAGGATGAGGAGGAAGAGGGGAGGAAAAGAGGGAGAAGGAAAGAAGAAGAGGAGGAAGAGGAAGAAGAAGAAAAAAGAAGACTAAAGATAACATCTCACTGGCAGAAACAACTATTGTCTTAGGATAAATGAGTGGAAAAAGCTCATCCAAGCAAACAGGCCCCTAAAGCAGTCAGGAGAAGCCAAACACATATCATCTGGTCGACTTCCAAGCAAAATTAGTCAGAAAAAGGTAACTACATGTTAATAGGAGGAATGATCTATCGAGATAATATAACAGTCGTTAACAAATATGCACTAAATATGTGTCCCCAGCGTCATTAATCAAACATTTTTAGACTTAAAAGCACCAGTAAACCCAACACAATGATGATGAGAGAATTCAGTGTCCCATACTCACCAATAGATTAGACAAAGAAACAACAAAGAAATGTCAGAGTTGGGCTGGGGAGGTGGCTCAGTGGTAGAGCATTTGCCTTGCATGCCTGAGGCCCTGGGTTCGATTCCTCAGCACCACATAAGCAAAAAGAAAAAAAGCCAGAAGTGGCGCTGTGGCTCAAGTGGAACAGCGCTAGCCTTGAGCTAAAGAGCTGAGGGACAGCGCCCAGGCCCAGAGTTCAGGCCCCACGACCGACCCCCCCCCAAAAAAAAAGAAATGTCAGAGTTATTGACACTATAAATCAAATGTATGTAGCAGACCTCTACGGAGTATTTCTCCTAGCAGCTACACAGTGGACATTCTTCTTAGCAGCCTATGAAACTTTCTTGGAAATAGGACATATCTTAGGACACAATACAAGTCTTACCAATATTTTAAAAATGAAGTAACTCTGTATTCTATTCAACTGTAATGGAATAAAACTAGAATTCAATAGCAAAAGAAACTAAAGAAAATATTTAAACACTTGTAGACTGAAAGATACACTGATGAACGAGGAGTGGATTACAGAAGAAATTAAAAAGAAAACCAAAAGTTCCGGAAATCTCATGAAAACAAAAACAAAACCTACCAGAATCTTTGGGATATAGCAAGGACAGTGCTAAGAGGAAAGTTTATAGATAAGAGAGAACCAAAAGAGCAGAAAAAAGGAAGATCATTTGACATCTTAAATTAATAGCTTAATGATAAACCTCAAAATCCTAGAAAAACAAAAGCTAAAACTAAAATTAGCAAACAAATAAATATTAAAGATTAATGCAGAAGTTAATGAAACTGAGGCCAAAAAACTGTTCAAACCATCAATAAGACAAAAAGTTGGTGCTTTGAAAAGATAAACACAATAGGTAATCCTTTAACCTGTCTGACTAAAAGAAGGAGAAAAGAGAGGAGAATTAATAAAAGAAAAAAGGAATATTACAATAAATACCAATGAAATCCAAAAGATAATAAGGAAATATTTTATAAAACTATATTGAAATTAACTAGAAAATATAAAAGAAATAGGTAAATTACTAGATATAGCCGACCTACCAAAAATTCTTAAATAGATACATAAGCAATGAAACTGAAGCAATAATAACCTCCCCTTAAAAAGAAACATCCATGACCTAATAGGTAGATTTTACTCCTGATTCTACCAAGCCTTTAAAGAAGGACACCAGTACTCCTCAAACTCTTCATAAAACAAAAGGGAAAGAATACAACACAACTGCCTCTATGAAGCCATCACTGAATTTTTCAAACCCATATAAGGACACAACAAAAAAGAATTACAGACAAATCTCCCATAAAGGAAAACACAAGAATTCTCTTTTAAATACATATAAACAAAGATTATTTCTTTGTTGCTTTGTATGTCCCTCCCCCACAGTGTAACCCCCGCTTTCACTATATTTGATGTCAGTATAACATGTGGAGGAGATGAGGACAAACAAGTCGTTTAAGGATTCAGGTGGACCTGTTGCAACAATGAGAAGTACAAAATGTCATGTCAAAACCAGCTTTACAATGTCGGTGGGGGGGGGAGGGGTATGATTGGGTGGGAGGGAGGGGGGAGGCTGGGAAGGGAGGTGAAGGGTAAACAAAGGAGGAGGCTGCAATGCTTGGTAAGAAATGTATGCATTATCCTGCCCATGTAATTGTAACCCCTCTGTACAGTATGTTCTCAAATAAAATAAAATTTAAAAAAAAATAAATAAATACATATAAACAGAATACTGGAAATATCAAACACCATGCTAGAGTTGGTTTCATTCCATGAATGAAAGGTGGTTTAATGTATAATACCAGAATTTCCAATAATGGGCTAATGGTAAAGTCCCCAAAGGAACTTATGGAAAGGAATATGAAGAGAAGAGAAGGAGGAAATGGATGCAGAGAAGGTACTGTTGGGACAAATACTGCCTACTTACTATGTGTTCTGTTGAATGTGGTACCAAAGATAGTGCAGTAAGGTGCTTTTCTGAGATAGACACAAAATAGACAAGGCTTGGGCAAAGAGGGTGTTAATAGGACATTTGACAGTAACCCTGTCCTACCACTGCTGCCACAGTCTCCTCTTCATACTGTTGGAAATCGTGCTATGACTAAAAGTGAGTATTTCTATGTCTTGATACTGTATTCACTTTACAAACATTTGAGTTTCTATTATATGCCAGGTCTTACTCTAGGTTAAGAAGACGAGAATGAAAAAGACAAAATATATCCTAATGTAAGGTTACAGACATTAGTAGTCAACATAAAACAAACAGAACTCAGTATAAGTTAAAATAAAGCAGTATAAGAAGAGAAGTGATAGAAGCTGCTAACTTTTATGGGGTAGGAAGAACTGAGAATGCTACATCTGAACTGAGCCCTGAATACAATGAAAGAGCCAGTCTTGAAATACTGAGGCCTCCCTCAATAGTATCTCTGACTGGAAAGCCAGAAAAATTGAAAAGCCTCAAGGTAAGGACCTGTTTATGCTGTCCAAGAAACAGGACCATGGTCAGTGTGAGCAAATGGGAGACAGATGAGTCTATAGAGGTATTGAAGGTCAGATGATATAGGGCAAGAGAAAGACTTTTAACTTTACTCTGTAGTGTGATAAGGAAGCCTTTTAATAATAGTGGACTTCGAGTTTTTTTTTTGAGAGAATTGTTAGGAAGAGTAGATCAAAAGAGACAAGAATGGAAATGCCATGGTCCTTTCCTCTTTTTATGACCTTGTTCTCCAATTGAGTTACTGTGCATTAGACAGCTCATCAAATAATCTTGGACTTGTCTTCTTTATCTGTAAATCAGAGACCAGAAACAATAATCTCTAGTTCCTAGTAAAGTATATATTATTTTAAAATTTAATAAATACCATATTGCTTAATAAATGATCAATAAAACATAGCTCTGATACTTGAAATAAAGTTGGGATTTTTTTTCTCTATGTCAAAATTCTGTTTCCACAATCAACATCCTATTTGGTATAATTTTAAGAGTTGCATTTTTGTAACTGCTACAATTTAAGGTCTTTAAGAAACAAAACAATTACCAAACTCATCAATAGCAATATTGTTAGCAGATTGGATGTTCTTTATGTCTAAAATCCTTTTCCTTTACAAATAAAACACCAATTCTTTCTTACAGAGACATGTGACGCAGTCTGGGGGTAATCGTAAATTCAAGTGCACTGAATGTGGAAAAGCTTTCAAATACAAACACCATCTAAAAGAGCACTTAAGAATTCACAGTGGTAAGTATTTGCTTTCTTTCTGCATCCTGCATGATAAAGCACCTGTGGTAATAGATCTACCATAATATGAGGCACATATATAATTAATAATTACTTGCTTTACTTTGGGGATTAAGACTACTATGGAGTTTATAAATAGTATTGTATTAACACCTTTACCTTTAGCTGAAGTATATCAAATTAATATAATATGACATACTCCAAATTTCTTAATCAGAAGACGATAAAGCAGATGATAAAGCATGTTTTAACAAATATGTCCTAAAACCACGTAAGCTTTCTGCTGAATGTTAATTTCATTGCCTCTTTTGGGTAGAGATGATATTTGAAAAAGGAGGTAAGAAGGTGGATGCAGCCTTTACATGAGAAAATCAGAAATGGAAACTCAGTAAGAAAATCACAGAAAGGTTCTATGTAGCCAGTGAATGAAGGCACCACAGGAAAGAACTAAAACATTGATGAGAACTTGGAGAAAAGAGAATTCCCCATCATGGTCACCTTTTACTTTACCTACACCATTGCTTATAAACCATTACTACAAAGGGAATCATATTTGATGAAAATAGGTACTTATGATTAACACTGAGAGCTGGTATTTTCATATCTTTCCAGATTCTACCTAAACAAAATCTATCTATAAGCTACAAGAAAACTTAGCATCTCACATTATAACATGAAATCTCTTCTCATTATTTTGATATGTTGTTTTTTTTCTCCTTAGTGAGCACAGCTTTAGTTACTTACAAATGTCATATATATACACACCCATGCATGCATGTGTGCACACGTGTGTGTGCATGCACACACATACATACATACATACATACATACATACATATGGAAAAAATTAATAGTAGTAATATGCTGAGATTTTTTTTGGTTATAATTTTCTCTTTGGATCATATTAGATACATTTTGTTTACAACTACATTGAGTGTAACAATCTGTCTCAGTAAAAGCCATCTTCCAAAAATAGGATTTTTATAGGAGCTAAAACTCATCTTTTGGGATCTATTGAAAGAAGTTGGGCATGAGTGGCTCATGCCTGTAGTCATAGCTACCCAAGAGGATTATATCTGATGATCAAAATCAAAGCCAACCTGGACAGAAATGTCCATAAAACTCTAATCTCACACACGCACGCGCACGCGCGCCCGCACACACACACACACACACGTACACATACACGTAATATGTTGTTTTTTATTTAAATAATTTTAATTTACATTTCACAAACATTTCCCTACAGAAAGTACAGTTGGGTGGCTTTGAGGGTAGTGATTGGTGATAACCATGACATTGTGGAATCTTTCTGTATTGATCATTGAAGTTATATCCCTGGGTTCACTATCACTCATATTGTCACTTGCAGGTGTTTGCACCAAGATTCTTATGGAAAAAAGTATTTATATTCACATTTTTGATAAATGTTTCTAAAAAGTAGAGATTAGCTTTTGCCGCTTACTGCAGTACCTTGTCTGCTGTGAAACAGTGTTCACCAATAATAATATAGTTTCAATGACCTGCTTTTGAAGGGTAGGCAGTGTTTAGGCCTTTGCTTAGGCTCGCCTTGAACTTTCAATCCTCCTGAAACCAACCTCTTAAGTAGCTGGGATTACAGGCATGTATCACCAATCCTGGAAATAATGCACTTTCATACTATAGATGATTCAATTCAACAGAGTTTTAAATTAGTGTAGAAAAAAAAAAGGGAAGAAAAGCTCAGAGTAGGATCCATATAGTTGTATAGGAAGATTTATCAGATTGTTTTATACAAAAAGTTGGGAAGCATAGGATATGGGTCTAGAAATAAGATTTTAAATGTAATTTCAAAATCCTACATTGTTATCTAAGATCTGATTAAATCAGTAAGTCAATTCTGTGATCAACAGCTTCACATGTGATGACAATAGACAACTGCTCTAAAATGAATGCGAATTTAGACTCCTTTTTGGAACATAGAACTACCAGTTGTATTCTGAGCAATCCATTTTTAGGTATTTATACCTGTCTTAGTTTTAAAATTTATCTGCTGCAAATGTGTGGTGGCTTATCCCTACAATCCTAGCTACACTCTTTCTTAAAAACAAGCCAACTCTTGATCCATAGCTATTTGTGAGGTGGAGGTATAGGAAGATGCTGATCGAAAGCTAGAAGAGGTAAAAGTGTGACAACCTATCTGAAAGACAAAGCAAAAGTATGGGAGGCATGGCTCAAGTGGTTCAGCACCTGTCTAGCAAGTGAGAGACCCTGACTTCAAATCCCAGAACTACAAAAATATAGGTAGCCAATATAAGTCTGCTATACTTTTAATATAGCAAATAATTATAATGAAGAATTATATAAGGAAAAAGTTTAAAGACCACAAAAAGTTGCTCCTAGGAACATTATAAAGAGAAAAATAGAAAATTAAGTCCTCCCTAGAAATATCCTTAAAATAATACAGCAGAGAGAATTTGATAGGGTCTTTTTAAAAGCAGGTTCTTCAAAAGAAGCCAATGATATTTCACCAAAGCACAATTTTTTATAAAGCATTTCTTCAGGGTGACTTCTTGGTTATAGTCCAAGTATACTTCTCCCTTATAGTCTGGTTTAATCCAAGAGATTTTTGGATCAGGCTCCTTCAAGTGTCATCGCAGGACTGGTGCCAGGCTACAAACCATGCATTACTGGTTCTTGAAGACTTAATGCAGAAATTGAAAAGTGAGGATTTAAAAACTATTATACCAAGATATTGCTGAGCCATTTTCACTACATTTTACAAATATCAATCAACAGTAGATGGGAAATTTAAATAAAAATGGTTGTTTCTCACCACAGGGAATTTAGAAAGCATCATCAGCATGCTTTTCATGCTAGGAAAGCAATGAACTGCAAATCCTTCTGGCAACTTCTATAATGTTTTTTTTCTCAGATGGATTTTTAAAAGGATTTGAAGATCAAGAACCAGAATTTTGCTCTCTAAAATTACCTGGATTATTGCTCTATTATGTTTTATAATATTAAAATAATTGTATGTTACTAAAATGTGAATTTTAATGATGAACCCTATGCAGAATTGTGTGCATTAATAGGTATTTGCACCCTGTGTAGAAGCTAAGCAATGGCAAGCTGAGTTATATACCCCCAAATCTGCACTAGGAGTGAGACAGAACACCTGCACAGCTCTTCCCCAGAGAATAATGTTTTATTTTTCCATGGCTTTAGTGGTTTTAGCCTGGAAATTTTTACTTTAGATGTTAACCAAATACCTCTGCTGTTACAAAAAAAAAATCCAGTATTTATGGTACATTTAACTGAGTAGTGGAGCTTATTGGAGTAACTTCCAGGCTAAACTACTGAGAACTTTAGCAAAGGTAAATTAAATTATGTGCTTAAGAAATGCACCATAAAGCTATGATGTTGGGAACAAAGGGTTTTCCAATATAGTAACTTTGGCTTTAGAATAATTATTCTGTAGACTTTCTTTCTCACAGTGACAAAATACCAAGATAATTTTGAGCAAGAAGAGTAACTTAATTAATATGTATTGAAAACTCAGCCACTTACTAGTTATTAACATACATTTATATTACCTTTAGAGTCCTCAGAAAACCTGAGGTAGAATATGGAGGCTCAAAGAGCTCAATTCACTTGTCCAAAGTCACTAAACTAGTGCTAGTGTCATCTTTATTTCAAAGCCACTAGTCTTTATCATCTCCCTGTTTGTAAAGATAAAATATAATCTGCAACTATATTTCAAAAAAGAAATTACTCATTTTTTTTAAATTTGCAGCATTGATGTTGTATAATTAGCAAAGCTTACATTGACTTCCTTGCTGTTTTCATTTTTAAAAATAAAGGAGATCCGGGCGCCTGTGGCTCAAGCCTGTAATCCTAGCTACTCAGGAGGCTGAGATCTGAGGATTGCAGTTCAAAGCCAGCCCAGGCAGGAACATCTGTGAGACTCTTATCTCCAATAAACCACTGGAAAACCGGAAGTGGCACTGTGGCTTAAGTGGTAGAGGGCTTGCCTTGAGCTGAAGAGCGCAGGGACAGTGCCTGGGGCCCAGAGTTCAAGCCCCACGTCAAACAAAAACAAAAACAAAAAAAAAGGAGAAAAAGAGCTTTATTATAATGCTGAGTAAACAAATTGATATCATATTTCATAATTAGTTATGAAATATGATAATCTAATAAAGGTTCATTCATCTAATAAAGGTTCAAAGATGGGATCTTTAAAACCTGAAGTGAGACAAATGCATGAGTTAAATGACCAATGGGACCCACAGGTTCAGACCTTACTGGGGCTAATAGTTTGTAACATATTGAATATAAATTCATGAACTCTAACCATAAATTAGACTTTATGACAATATTGTATTCAGTTCAATTCTTCTCCAAATTTTTCGGTCAACATCTCTCCAATGGCTGATGAGAATAAATGCTTTGTGTTCCTGGGAAGTCTGGAGAACAGTTTAACAGAGGCCTCCATAATCCCTTGTATTGTGTCTCCTGCCAGTTCACACAGACTTTGTATTTTATCAAGAATATAATACGTTTTAATATAAAAATAAAATCTTCAAGATGATTTGCAAATCTACAAGAACTTGTATCCTTAGGGATAATATACATTCCAATTTAATAAATCAATGATTATAGCAACGCCTTATATTAAGTATTTCCTTCCTTTAAGAGAGATCTTTTTTCCTTTCTTCTAACATAGTTTTTCTCCTGCAGTTGATTGAATAGAGTAAAATATGTAAATGATATAGGTGTGTAAAACAGGATAAGAAAAGCTAATTGAAAGAGTTGGGTTAATTATTTTTTTGAGAAAAATTAGCTAATTAGTTACAAAGATTAGCAGAAATGGTGTTCACATATGCTGAGAAGATTCCTTGATTGGTTAGCATGCATAGTTCAGGCTAAGGTTTTCTAGTGTTTATAAAATGTATGTGGTCTTTGAACTAAAATAATGATTACAAATGATATATCACAGGTATATTTGTTAATCCTGCTTTTTTAAAATGATACTGCTTATTTTTTGGAAATTACAGTCTGTAATTTTTTGTTTAGGAGAGAAGCCATATGAATGCCCAAACTGCAAGAAACGTTTTTCCCATTCTGGTTCCTATAGTTCACATATAAGCAGTAAGAAATGTATCAGCTTGATGCCTGTGAATGGACGACCAAGAACAGGACTCAAGACGTCTCAGTGTTCCTCACCATCTCTTTCAGCATCACCAGGCAGTCCCACACGACCACAGATACGGCAAAAGATAGAGAATAAGCCCCTTCAAGAACAACTCTCTGTAAACCAAATTAAAACTGAGCCTGTGGATTATGAATTCAAACCCATTGTGGTTGCTTCAGGAATCAACTGTTCAACCCCTATACAAAATGGGGTTTTTAGTGGTGGTGGCCCATTGCAGGCGACCAGTTCTCCTCAGGGTGTGGTGCAAGCTGTTGTTCTGCCAACAGTTGGCTTGGTATCTCCCATAAGTATCAATTTAAGTGATATTCAGAATGTACTTAAAGTGGCAGTAGATGGTAATGTAATAAGGCAAGTTTTGGAGAATAATCAAGCCAATCTTGCATCCAAAGAACAAGAAACAATCAATGCTTCATCCATACAACCAGGCGGCCATTCTGTTATTTCAGCCATCAGTCTTCCTTTAGTTGATCAAGATGGAACAACCAAAATTATCATCAACTACAGTCTTGAGCAGCCTAGCCAACTTCAAGTTGTTCCCCAAAATTTAAAAAAAGAAAATCCAGTTCCCGCAAACAGCTGCAAAAGTGAAAAGTTACCAGAAGATCTTACTGTTAAAACTGAGAAAGACAAAAGCTTTGAAGGGGGAGTGAATGATAGCACTTGCCTTCTATGCGATGATTGTCCAGGTGACCTCAATGCACTTCCAGAGTTAAAGCACTATGACCTAAAGCAGCCTGCTCAGCCTCCTCCACTCCCAGCCCCAGAAGTTGAGAAGCCCGAGTCCTCTGTTTCATCGGGTACTGGAGATGGCAATTTGTCTCCCAGTCAGCCTCCTTTAAAGAATCTCTTGTCTCTCCTGAAAGCCTACTATGCTCTGAACGCACAACCAAGTGCAGAAGAGCTCTCAAAAATCGCTGATTCGGTAAACTTACCACTGGACGTAGTAAAAAAGTGGTTTGAAAAGATGCAAGCTGGACAGATTTCAGTGCAATCTTCTGAACCATCTTCCCCGGAACCAGGCAAAGTAAATATACCTGCAAAAAATGATGAACAGCACCAATCTACAAATGCAGATGAACCCCAGGACAGCACAATAAGTCTACAAAGTCCTCTGAAAATGTCTAATTCTCCAGGTTTACCAGTGGGATCAACAGTCAATGGTTCCAGAAGTAGTACACCATCCCCATCACCTTTAAACCTCTCCTCAGCCAGAAACACACAGGGTTACATGTACCCAGCAGAAGGTGCACAGGAAGAGCCACAAGTAGAACCTCTTGATCTTTCACTACCAAAGCAGCAGGGAGAGTTATTGGAAAGGTCAACTATCACTAGTGTTTACCAGAACAGTGTTTATTCTGTCCAAGAAGAACCCTTGAACTTGTCTTGTGCAAAAAAGGAGCCACAAAAGGACAATTGTGTTACAGACTCAGAACCAGTTGTAAATGTAATCCCAAGTGCCAACCCCATAAATATTGCTATACCTACAGTCACTGCCCAGTTACCCACAATTGTGGCCATTACTGACCAGAACAGTGTTCCATGCTTACGAGCACTCGCTGCCAATAAGCAGACTATTCTAATTCCACAGGTTGCATACACATACTCAACTACAGTCAGCCCTGCAATCCAGGAACCACCCCTGAAAGTGATCCAGCCAAATGGAAATCAGGTAAATAAACAAATAACAGCCATCCTGAACCTGGTTAGTTAGTGCTAGGTTGAAAAAGAATCCAATCACTCTAGAATCAATTTGGTTGTTCCATACTTACATTTAAAACAAAAATGAAGCTGGGTGCCAGTGGCTCATACCTGTAATCCTAGCTACTCAGGAGGCTGAGATCTGATGATTGCAGTTCAAAGCCAGCCCGGGCAGGAAAGTACATGAGATTCTTAAATAAACCACCAGAAAACTGGAAGTGGTAGAGTGCTACCTTTACCTGAAGCGCTCAGGGATAGCGCCCAGGCCCAGAGGTCAAGCCCCATGACTGACCCCAAAAAAAAAAAAAAAAGCCAGGTACTGGTGGCTTACAACTGTAATCCTAGCTACTCAGGAGGCTGAGATCTGAGGACTGCAGTTCGAAGGCAGCAAGACAGAAATGTCTGTTTGACTTTTATCTCCAACAAATTACTCAGAAAAAAAAAGTGCTGTGGCTCAAGTGATAGAGCAAAATGAGGCTCAGGGATAATAGCACCCAGGTCCTGAGTTCAAGCCCTAGGACTGGAAAAAAAAATGAGCTGGGTATCAGTGGTATCTGTAATCCTCCCTATTCTGGAGGCTGAGACTAAAGGGATCATAGTCTAGGCCAGCCCAGACAAAAAGTGAGGCCTATCTCAAAAGTGACCAGAGGAAAGGGGCTTGAATGGTAGAGCACATGCCTAGCAAGGGAGAACCCCTGAGTTTAAACCTAGGTAACTACCAAAGAATAAATGGATCAATCCAGGAATTGGTGTCTCATACCGTTCTAATCCTAGTTACTCAAGAGGCTGAGATCTAAGGATCTCACTTTGGAGCCAGCCTGAGCAGACAAATAAGGCTCTCTTATTTCCACTTAACCAGTAAAACACTGGAACTGGAGATGTGGTTGAAGTGATAGAGCCCCAACAATGGTATAAAAAGCCTATTGAAAGCAAGGGCTTGAGTTCATGGCCCAGTAGTGACACACATGAGAATTGATCCATGTTTGCTTCAACTTTTGTGGCATGTCTTCACTGTCTTAAGGTATCACCTAAATTTAAAAGTATTACTCTATTATGAAAAATGACATCTCAGCTAGAAGCCTACTTAAGGCTGTAAAGAACAAATGTAATACTCTTTGTTTCTTTTTATAGTTAAATATCAAAATTAATAGTTTCTGCCTCATTGTTATCATTAGTAAATATGTTCACAAGTTTACATTAGGCAGACTTAGCTAAACCTTTTAACAACACCTTTCATTATAAATAGCTTTAATGAGGCAAACAGGAAGTATACAGATAACTCATCTAGTAAATTGGCTGATAGTTTATGAACAGTGATAATAATGAGACATGATAATATACAAAGAATTGTGATCATGAATCTGTATGCATTTTTCTCTTTAACTTGCCATATAAAAACTCCATGCCAGTTTTAGATAGAGCTGTGTTGTGTGACTGTTATATATCTCATTGTCCAAGATTTTTACATGTCCCTAGCCTTCCCATTTTTTTGAATCAAGTGGACACCAGCGATCACTATTTGATCTTTAATGCAAATATTGGCAGCAAGTTGGTACAGTCTAATATTTTTAAATACTTAAATATATATTTGCTGCTTTGGGTTTCCCTTAAATATTTTTACTGTGTTTCCTAAAATTGTAACCACTCTTGAAAAATATTTCACAGATCTAGTGAATTTATCTATATTTTTGTACATGAAATAGTTTACACATCTTTGAATACAAGAGTGGGCTGCTTTTAGCCGGAAGTGGCGCTGTAGCTCAAGCGGTAGAGCACTGGCCTTGAACTGAAGAGCTCAGGAACAGCGCCCAAGCTCAGAGTTCAGGCCCCACAACCAAAGAAAGGAAAAAAAGGGGGGGGGAGCTGCTTTTAACATTTTACATAATCATGTGACTAGAGCAAATAGTAGTGGTTATTTTGGCATAGGTGGGTAGCTGACAATGATCCAGACAAATGTCTGTGTTTCTTTTGCCTTAAGAAGGCACAAGAAGACTGGACACCGGTGGCTTATGCCTGTAATCCTAGCTACTCAGGAGGCTGAAAGCCTCTCGCCTTGAGCTGAAGAGCCCAAGGACAGAGCCAAGGCCCAGAGTTCAAACCCCAGGACCGACAAAAAAAAAAAAAAAAAAAAGCACAAGAAATGTGGAACGCTTCTTTGTACTTTTAGGAAATATTTAGTTTATAGGCAAGAGACAGGAACAATCTTACCTGACCTAATTTTGTAACGGGCTCCCTGCGGGAGTATTCTATCCCCAAGAGGGTCTTCTGCCCATATTTTCTCCCTAAGACTGCTTGAATATTTTTACTCTACTGTAATTCTAAAGATTCCTTTTGGACTAGAAACTGCTTTTCCTTAAAAATACTGCTCTTCCATGCTTCTCCATTAGAAAGTGGAGTCCCAACCTTTTTGTCCAGGGGACCAGAGAGTGCTTCAAAATCCTCCAGAGTTCTAAAGGGTACAATTTAAATATACTTTTAAACACTGAATCACAGTTTTTATGTAGGGAAACCAAGAATTTTTTAAATGAAAATAAATGATACCACTAAAAATTTGGTAAAACTGTCTGCAAATGATACATAAAATCATAACTCAAAACCAATTAAATTTTATTGCCACAACAATTTGCATTCTCTCTTTTGGTTTTTTCTCTTTTCACTCCAAAGGAGTATATGTTTTTTAATACAGTTTTGGCTATATACTCTGCAGCCTCTCTTCTGTGTGTATCAGTCCATAGCTGTGACCCAGCCATGCCCATCGGCAGTAGTGAGCGCAAGGCTTGCTGGGGTCCACTATCCGAGAGTACATATCGAGGTAGTGCTGAAACCTATGCTTTGTTTGCATCTCTGGTTTATCTTTTAATTTGAAATTAAATCTTCTGTTTTTTCTCTTAGGATGAAAGGCAAGACACTAGCTCAGAAGGAGTATCAAATGTGGAGGATCAAAATGATTCTGATTCTACACCTCCCAAAAAGAAAATGAGGAAGACAGAAAATGGAATGTATGCATGTGACTTGTGTGATAAGATATTTCAGAAGAGTAGCTCATTATTGAGACACAAATATGAACACACAGGTATGTCAATAAACACAACATCTTCTACAAAATTACTTGTTATATGACATACTGAAAAAAACACCATGTTGTTTTCTACATCTCAAATCCTGATATTACTACCTGTCTTCTTTGTGGACCTAGTAGTTCCTTTGTTTTTGTGTTGTTTTGATTTATTCCAATAATGACTTAATTCCTTTAAGCTGACATGGCATTTACTCTGTCCACATTCACTGGCTGCAAGTGTATGCTATACTGATCAAACATAGCATCTGTCAGTAAAATATGAGCCCAGAAGGATAAAGGTACGGGGAGACATGACCTGTCTGCATCTTAGGATGCTTAGGCATTTAGGACTTGCCCATTATTCTGGCAAGCCTTGGATCCTTTTCACTCAAAGATCAGAAAGGTATTTGTGTTTTATAAAGAATTTCTACCTTAGAGGTTAAACTGGATGATTCTAAGGTTGCTCTGTATAATCTTCAACAAAATATACACTCCTTAGGTCAACTCAGGAACTGGGAAAACTGGCCAAATATGGGGCTAGACCTGTTTTTCTATGGTTTGTGAGCTAAGAATGTCTTTTTGCTGGTACCTGGGTTTGAACTTACGGCCTTCTGCTTGCTTGGCTTGTTTGCTGCAACTCTGCCATCTGAACCATGCCTCCAACCTGGCTGGCTTTGAACTTCAATCCTCTGATATCAGCCTTCTGAATAATTAGATTACAGGTATGAGCCACCAGCTCCCAAATTTAAGAATTTTTTTACTTTTTTAATTATTGAAAAAGAGTAATTATGGTGTGAAATTATTTAAAAATCAAATTCCCAAATCCCTATAAAGGTTCAGTGCACCCATTTGTTTGCCTATCAGCCATAGCCACTTTCCTGCTCTTCCAGAAAGACAGATTGGAGTGTCTGTAGCAAGGACTGTTTGGCCAGTAAAGTCTAAAATATTTACTACTGGCTTTTACTGAAAACACTGCCAACTTCTGGGCTGATTCCAACTATCCAGCAGAGTGCTAGTAAATTTTAATAACTGGTTCTCTGAAGAGTGGGGAAGCCCCGATACAAAAGTAGTGTTTGCAGATCCCTGTGGCCTAAATACTTCCAGCATGGTTTATTTCTAACTTAAGTCAGCTTCTGCTCAACCCAGAGAATTTCTGATAATTTTACAGTAGACTCCTTCTAGCCAATCAAAACTGCCTGCCACATACCATTTCTCTCTAATAGAGGTTTGCCATAGAAGTGTCTGGTTTTATCATAAGCTCTTCAACCTCCTACCTCATCTTCCATCACCTTTACCAGCCATTTTGGCTACAGTATGCGTACATATTTTATATCCTTATCAGCTATGTTAAAGCATTTACTCTTATGAGAAAAAACATAGAGAATTGTTTCCCCTTTTACAATCTACAGATTCAAAGGTACTTTCCACTAACACTTCAGTAATTCTTGAAGTTAAAAAGAATATTATAGACCGAGTGTAGTGGTTCATGCATGTAATTCCAGCTACTCAAAAGGTGGTGGTTGGGAGGAGTGTGATTTGAGGCCAACCCAGGCAAAAAAAGTTAACATGACCTTGTCTCACCCCATTGGTAGCTCATGCATATCATCCTAATAATGCAGGAGTCATAAACAGGAGGATTGCTGTATAGACTGCTTGTCTAGGTAAAAACACAAGACCCTGTTAAAAAAAAAAATAGCTTAGGGCTGGGAAGGTGGCTCAGTGGTAGGGTGCTTGCCTTGCATGCCTGAGGCCCTGGGTTCAATTCCTCAGCACCACATAAGCAAAAAGAAAAAAAAAGCCGGAAGTGGCGCTGTGGCTCAAGTGGTAGTTTGCTAGCCTTGAGCTGAAGAGCTGAGGGACAGTGCCCAGGCACAGAGTTCAGGCCCCACAACCGGACCCCCCCCAAAAAAATAGCTTAAGCAAAAAATGTCTGGTAGCACAGCTCAAGTGGTAGAGCACTTGGCCTGGCAAGCATAAAGGCCTGAGTTCAAATGCCAGTACGTAAGAGAGGGCCATGTCTCTCCAAACATATTTCTCTAGTTATTTTCACCAAGAAAAACTAAAATTTTCCTTCTTCTCAGGGCAAGAATTAAATGTTAACAAATGCCAGAATTTAAAATACATATGAGAACATCCTATCTTTAACAAGAAAACTTCCCCTCTGTACAGTATGTTCACAAAAAAAATTTAATTTAATTTAAAAAAAAGAAATAAACTAGGATTCACAATGAAAAAAAAAACAAGAAAACTTTTAAAATCATTGCTGTATTTTTAATGTTCACTTGTTGCTCACATTGAAATTAGAATAGCACCAACCTGATTATGACCCAGCTATTGTCAGTTCTGTGAGAAGCTGCATTTCTTGAGCTTGTATATTCTCAGTGGGTCAAGATTACCTTCAAGAGGAAAGCTTGTTTGTTGGGTTTTGAGTAAAGCATTTTGTTAACCTTTGTAAACCTTAAGAACCTCAGTACATAGACTCTGTGTATGTGAGTTTGGAATTTAAAGGATCCTAAAATAGGTCAATATTTTTTAAGTTGAGAAGCACATCTATCCCTCCTTGCTGTCTCTGGACTGACTGTCTACTCTCATCAGAGTCATGATGCTTCTATTTTTAGCACTTCTATCTTATGTAAGTCCCACTGACTTTTTCATCTACAAAGTATGTAACACTGAATTTTTATATATAAACAAGAGATCATACTATTATATCACAGAACAGAGAATTTAAGATCTGAAATTTTTTTTATTTTAATTTTATTGTCAAGGTGATGTACATAGGGGTTACAGTTACATAAGTAAGTTAGTGAGTAAAATCTTGTTGACCTTATTACCCCCGCCTCATTTTTCTCCCATTTTCCCTTCCCCTTCTACCCCCTGAAATTGTACAGATCATTTCCAGCATATTGTCTTGTATCACTGTTGCATTGGCTCCCCCTTGTCCTTTGTCTCACCATTTTGTTGTTCCCCTTCCCTTCCCTAATTCAGATAAACATATACACAATACCCAGGGTGGATACCAAAATCAAATGCAGTGACAACAGGGGATAAACCATAGGGGGAAAAACACAAAGGAAAAAAGAAATCACATAATACATTAAAAAAAACAACAATAAAGAAAAACCTCTAGTGTCCATGTCTTGGAGTTCATTTTGCTTAGCAACATCTTATATGGTCATATGTATGTAGCTATTAAACTATTATCTGCTAAGATTCTCCTGGACGTATACTATTAATTAAAAATAAGGGAAAGCACGAGACCTATGTTTCTTTAGTCTGGCTTACCTCACTTAGTATGATTTTTTTCAAGTCCTTCCATTTCCTTACTGGTAGTTTTTTTTGTTTTTGTCGGTCGTGGGTCTTGAACTCTGGGCTTGGGCACTGTCCCTCAGCTCTTCAGTTCAAGGCCAGCACCCTACCAGTTGAGTCACACCACCTCTTCCAGTTTTCTGGTGGTTAATTGGAGATACGAGTCTCGCGGACATTCTTGCCCGGGCTAGCTTTGAATGGCGATCTTCAGCCTCCTAAATAGGTAGGATTACACGTGTGAGCCACCAGAACCTGGCTCCTTACTGGAAGTTTTTTAAACATGGAATTGTAACCCCACCCTTTCCCCAACCTAAATTGTTCCTGACACTTATAAGAACTGTATTCATCTAGCAGCACTTTTGGTTCATAGCTGTTCTTGTCTTGCAGGTAAAAGACCTCATGAGTGTGGAATCTGTAAAAAAGCATTTAAACACAAGCATCACTTGATTGAACACATGCGATTGCATTCAGGAGAAAAGCCCTACCAATGTGACAAGTGTGGAAAGCGCTTCTCACACTCGGGATCTTATTCTCAGCACATGAATCACCGCTACTCCTATTGCAAGAGAGAAGCAGAAGAACGCGACAGCACAGAGCAGGAAGAGGCAGGGCCAGAAGTTCTGATGAATGAGCATGCTGGTGCCAGAGCATCTCCCTCACAGGGTGACTCAGATGAGAGAGAGAGTTTGACAAGGGAAGAGGATGAAGACAGTGAAAAAGAGGAAGAAGAGGAGGAAGATAAAGAGATAGAAGAATTACAGGAAGAAAAGGAATGTGGAAAACCACAAGGGGATGAAGAAGAAGAGGAGGAGGAGGAGGAAGAAATGGAAGAAGAAGAAGAAGTAGAAGAGGCAGAGAATGAAAGAAAAGAAGCAAACACTGAAGGGCCAATGAAGGATGACGGAGCTGTCAGCCAGGCCGGCAACTTAGAACAAAAAGTAAGCAAGAGTACTGAGCAGGTGTCTGAAGAGAAAACAAATGAAGCCTAATAGTTTTCTAGAAGGAAAATAAATTCTAATTGGTAATGAAGTCTGTTCTATATTACCCATGCTTTTCATGGAAACACAGTACCCTATGCTGTGATTCCTATCACTACTGTGTAAAGTCAGAACTGAAAAAATACAAAATACAAAAAAAAAAAAAAAATCCAGGTGTGCCTGAACCTCAGACCTAGTAATTTTTCATGCAGTTTTCAAAGTTAGGAAGAAGTTTGTGACACGAAGCAGATTAGAAACTTTGATGACTCAGAAAGCAAAGATTGAACAGGTTAAAGGAAAATGATTATTAGATAAGCATCTAGCGTTGTTTCATTTTATCAGTATTATTTCTCTTATGTTGGTTCATTCTTAAGCTGTACAATTGGGAGAAATTTTATAATTTTTATTGGTAAGCATATGCTAAATCCGCTTCAGTATTTTATTATGTTTCTAAAATGTGAGAACTTCTGCACTACAAAATTCCCTTCACAGAGAACTATAATGCAATTCCAAACCATGAAAACTACCTTTTATAAATCCATTCTAGAAGGTAGTAATTTCTAATATTTAGATGTCATAGTGGAGCATATTGTCAGCCTTAAGGAAGCAGCCGATAGAAGAACTGAAGTTCCTTACTCATGTGATTTTAATGGAGTTCAGAAGATGGTCATTGAGTTCTGACTGCAGGGACTAACAGTGTTGATACTGGCAAGGACAAACAGAGATGTCAGAATCAGTGTTCAAGATTGTGTTTGAGTATGTGGTAGCAAATATGAAGGATATGATATGAAGGTTTGTATCTCCTTTGGCCTTAAGCAAGACCTGAGTGCTGTAAGTGCCATTTCTCAGTATTTTCAAGGCTCTAACCCGCCTTCATTCAGTGTGTGGCCTACAATAACTAGCATTTGTTGATTTATTCATTGTATCAAAATTCCCAAATAAAACTTAAAAACCACTGACTCTGTCAGAGAAACTGAAACACAGGGACATATCACCCTTCAATTCCTCAGTATTCGTTTTCTGATAATTGATTTTCAGAATTTCTCTACAGAAACAAAAGGGAAATTTTCTAATCTGCTTTATCCATGTACTTGCATTTCAGACATGGACATGCCATTGTTATTTGGCTCATAACTGTTTCCAAATGTTAGTTATTATGGACCCAATTTATTAACAACATTAGCTGATTTTTACCTATCAGTATTATTTTGTTTCTTTTAGTTTATAGATCTGTGCAACATTTTTGTACTGTATGTCTTCAAACCTGGCAGTATTAATACCCTTCTTACTGACATATGTACTTTTAGTTTTAGAAAACTTTTATATTTATGTGTCTTATTTTTATATTTCTTTATTTATTACACAGTGTAGTGTATAATACTGTAGTTTGTATTAATACAATAATATATTTTAGTATGAAAATTTGGAAAGTTGATAAGATTTAAAGTAGAGATGCAATTGGTTCTCTTGCATTGAGATTTGATTTAACAGTGTTATGTTAACATTTATACTTGCCTTGGACTGTAGAACAGAATTTAAATGGGAATGTATTAGTTTTACAACAACAATCAAGTCATTTTACCTTTACCCCGTTTTTAATATAAAACTCTTAAATTTTGAAATTCACTGTGTGACTAATAGCATGATGCTCTGCTGTTTTATTAAGAGATTAGCCTAACCATAAAACTCATTTCTTTAGCAAGCCAAATTAGGATTACCTTATATAAACAGTGTTGGGAACAATGTTTAACATTTTGTGCCAATTTGTTCCTGTATTCATGTATGTAAGTTACCAATCCGACTCTTCATTTTTAAGTTCCTTGTTACACCATGGTCATTTTCTAGTTTTTTATCAGACTCCCCCATCTCACAATAAAATGCATCAACAAGCCTGACCTACTGTCATTCTTTTCATCATTATCAAGGTTTTCTTTGAAAAACTGTGAAATGGATTACTATATTACCATCTTGCTCTTGACTCATCTCAAGCTGAGTTTGGGTAATGCTGAATGTTTCAGATGGTCACCACTAAGTTAGGAATTTTCTCATGGCCTCGTGTTTCTAGAGCTGAAGTCCTCTGTAGAGCCATTCTTTCTTCCTGGCACCTTCATCTTCCCCTCCTCCGCACCCCTCCCAGGTCCCATGATTACTTACCTCTAGGTCACTTCAGGGATGCTGAGTTTAGATGCCTTTGTTCTGTACTCCCACAAATCCTTGTGCCTTTCTCATCCTATCTCTTGTGCTGTTTTTTGTATTTCTTTGCTTTAGGAGCAGGAACCGTATCTATCACGGTCACTTTCATGTGTCCATTATCCAATAGAGTACCTTCCACTAGTTGGTACAACAAATACTTGTTGGATGAAAATATAGTTTGCATGTTTACTGAGCTTAGCTGTGATTTTACTGTTTGTTCTATTTCTAATTCCAGAATGTTTATGTTGAATAATTCCAGTAATATAATAATTTTTCTCAACTGGATCTCTTAAACATTAGACATAATACACATAAATTGTTTCTTCCTTCCTATAATTAAATCTCTAGGTGTCTTCCTGGTGCTTCACTTCATGTACATGGCACAGGCATTCAAGACTTGAGGAACTGACTACCTCCAATAGGAATGATAGGTCTAGTCCTGTGCACTTTCTGTTCTAGAGCCCCAGATTCCTGGTGCCCATTTTCATCAGGTTGCCTTATTTCTTTTGTCACTAAGAACAGTTATCCAATCAACAAATTCATTATAGAATAAGGAAATAATAAGCAACCCTTCTCCATAGGTATCCACACTATACTCAATAAAGCTCAGAGGACAGTGTTTGACACATGGATCAATGACTGATAAAGAAATTCAGGTATTATCAGAAGTTTTACAATGAAAAATATGTATAGATCCTTCCCACAGTTCCCTAAAATCACATTATAGTACCAGTGCCATGCTATTAATACACATGTCATGCAGAGGTGTTTTGATATCTTTATCAAAACTATTTTCTCACAAAAATAAAAATAGAAATACAAAGAGAAGCTATGCATGTGCTCATGGACACATACATAATGAAGATCTGAGTACAGGCCTGTCTGACTCCGGGAGCCATATATTTAATTAGCCTATATCCCATTTCATGTCAAAATGGGACATGTAGGCCCAGACTGAAAGAATACGAATAGAAAATATCTGTATGATAATATTCATTTCATACCATGTGGAAGGTGGGAACATGAGATTTTTTTTCAAATCTAGCTACAAACTTAAAAACAACTTTGAAAAATTAACATGGAAATATAATCTTAGATTTCTCCCTTAAAATCAATGGAAGGACAGATTAGGGCAATTGCTATTTTAATTTTGTATTTGACTAAACAACTCCTGTGCTCTACTAAGGGAAAAGCACATTCTGCTCAACAGCAGCTAGAATATACATTCTTTTTCTAACAAAATATGGAAAATTCATGGAGAACATTCAAATTTGTAAGAATTGAAATAAAGTGTTTATTCTCAAAAGATAAGCTACAAATAAATAACATATATATATATACACATATATACATACATATACATAGAAGATCCCTTAAGCGATTGGAAAGTAAACAACACATTAAATAGTCCATAGATGGGAAAAAGATTCTAAAATATGATTAAATAACCACATATCAGAATTTGTGGCAGGCCTTTGAAGCAGTGCATATAAGAAAATCTGAACTTCCACCTTAAAAAACAAGAAAAAATTAAAACCAAAGCAAGCAGGAGAAAAGCAATAAGGGGAAAAGAAAAGCAGTTACATAGGAAATAAGTCAGAATTAGACTTTGAAAAAATTAATAAAACTGATAAACATCTAGCCAAATAGACTGAAGAGAAAAAAAGGAGAAGACACACAAATTACCAATATCAAGAAAACAGACAACCTTACAGAGCTTATAATAAAAGGATAATCAGGAAATAATGACTTTATGCCAATAAATTGGATAAATTAGATGAAAATGATACATTTCTTGGGTCATTCTTAAAAAAAAATAACACAGTCCATTAACGAAGAAAGTAACATTTCTAGTTTAAAAAAATTCCCACAAAAATGTTTTAGCCCAGATGGCTCCACTAGTGAATTCCACCAACTGTTTTGCAGTATAATGAACCAATTCTACATAAATTCATTTACAAAACAATAGAGGAAAAACATTTTCCATCTCAGTCTGTGAAACCAGGATTAACCTGATACCAAAACCAGCAATGTCATTTCAATAAACAAAACTACATGCTAATAATACCTCACATTAGCATACAATCTAAAATCTTTAGCAAAATATGAGGATAGTTGGACAAATTTACCAAAAGGAAAAATGCATCATAATAAAGTAGGATTTACCCCAGGAATACAAGATTCATCCAACAATCAGTGTAATTCACTACATTTGTAGTGTTTTTTAAAAAAGCATACAAGGGCTGGGAAGGTGGCTCAGTGGTAGAGCGCTTGCCTTGCATGCTCAAGGCCCTGGGTTCGATTCCTCAGCACCACATAAGCAAAAAGAAAAAAGCCGGAAGTGGCGCTGTGGCTCAAGTGGTAGAGCGCTAGCCTTGAGCTGAAGAGCTGAGGGACAGCGCCCAGGCCCAAAGTTCAGGCCCCACGACCGGATCCAAAAAAAAAAAAAAAAGCATACAATTATCTCAATAGGTGTAGAAGACTCACCTGAAAAATTCATTATAAAAGTTATTCATAATCTAGGAATAAAAGATAATCTCCACCTAAATAAAGAGCAACTACAAAAATCCAACGGATACCATTGTACTTAGCATGAAGATTAAGCACTTGCTTCATAAAATGAGAAACAAAGTATGTTCTCACACTTTCCCTAAACATTGTATTGAGCATCCTAGCTTTTCTAACATGACAAAAATAAAGACATAAGTGTAAAAAAAAACTATAACTTCATATTCAGACAGCATGTTTATTGGCAGAAAACAATTGTAGAAAGCAAATGCTGGAGCGAGCAACTAGAACAGGTAAGAAGGTTACAGGACACAAAATGCAAAAATCAATCATCTTACTAAACAGTAGTTTTATACTTAAAATTCTTATACCTAAAAATGTATACCATAAAAATTTCAAGTATTTAGGGATAATTTAACAAAATAGAGGATACCTGTGCTCTAATAATTACAAAACATTGCAGAAAGAAAGGTGCAAAGAAAACAGAGGTGTCCCATGTTCATGGATAAGAAGACTATACCACAAAGATGAGTTCCACCCCAAATTGAATCTATTGGTTGAGGGCAATTTCAATCACAATCTCAGCCACACATTTATAGAAATTGATAGACTGATTCTGCATTTATATAGGAATGCAAAAGACTTACAGTAAGTGCAACAATGTTGAAAAACTTGTAGTACTTAGACAATTGGGTTTCTAGAATTTTAATAATTTGTTTTATTATGCTATGACTTGAACATGAATATATATATATATATATTGATCAAGGCAACAAAACTAAACATTAACCAAAAAATTCACATATACATTGTCAGTTGATTTTTGTCAAAGATGCCAAGACAATACAATAATGAGATGATTGTGAAAATGTCATTGATAACTAGCTATGCAAGAGAATAAACTTGATTTTTACATCCCTTACAGTAGTTGATTCAAAATGGATTGTGAATCTAAATATAAGAATGAAGCTTGTAAAATTAAAAAACATCCAAAAGAAAACAAAAAATTTTTTGTGAACATTGGATCTTATCAAAATTTAAAAATTTTTGTCTTCAAAAAGTATTGTTAAGAAAAGACCAAAGAACAGACTGGGAGAAAACATTAGCAAAACATGCATATATATATATGCCAAAATAAATTAAAACTTAAGAACCTATTCGTGAATGATCACAGCATTATTTATAAATAGCCAAAAATAGAAACAAATTGTCATCAGCTGATTGTAAACAAAATGTGTTATTATACAATAGAATAATATGCAACATTTAAAAAGAACTTCTGATACATGCAACAAGCATAGATGAACCTTGAAAAATATTAAGTAAAATAAATCAGTACTAAGACTAGGTATTCTATGATTCCATTTATACTAAGTACCCAAAATGAAAAATTCTATATATAAAAGTAGTTGATTAATGACTGTTTAGGACCTGGGGCAGAAAAGAGTGCAAAGTAATTGCTAATAGGTAAAGATTTCTTTGAGGGTAACAGAAATGTTTCAGATTGTGATATTTGCACAACTCTGTATATACTTATTCATGTAATTATACATTTTAAATGGGTAACCATGGTATGTGAATTTTATCTCAAGCTGTAAAGAGTATGTGTATGTTTTTAATACATAAAATGTAATAAAGGACTCTTACAACTCAGTAATACAATTTTTTAATTGGACAAAATTTAAAGACACTGTACTAAGTAAGCTATGTGGATAAGAAATAAATAAGTGGAAAAATGAGCAACACTAGTCATTAGCAAAACAAAAACCACAATGTGCTATCACTGCTCGCCCAATAGAAGAGCTGAAATTTAATTACTTTCAGTAATAACAAGTGTTGATCAGGATGTAGAGAAACTATAACTTTTCTAATTGCTGGTGGAATTTTAAAAATGGTTACCATTACTTTGGAAAAATAGTGTGTCAGACTTATAAAGTTAAATACATAGTTAACATACAACAACAAATGCCCAAGATAGATTTTTAAAAAACATATGGCCACTTGAACTTTAAGATGTTCATAGCAATTTTACTTAGAACCATCAATCTATAGATAGCCAAAATCTCTCCCCAGTGAATGAATAAATTGCATTTTATCCATTTAATGGGAAACCATTTGTCAATAAACAGTAACCAACATGAATGAAGACTATAATATGACTGTGACAGTTGCTACACAGCATATTATTTTTCAA